AGAAGCTCATGAAGTCATTGCTGCTGATCTAAGGGAATGTTAAGCTCAACAGCACCGTGGCTCTTTGTCAGCCTGGCTACAGTGCTGAAAAGAAACCTGGGGTTGTTCTTATTTTCCTCAATCAGTGATGAATAAAATGCGGTTCTGGCACTATGAAGGGCTTTCTTATATGTTATTAAACTATCTTTCCAGGCTATGAAAAACTCTTCTGACTTAGTGGAGCGCCACCTCCTTTCCATTTTTCAGTTTACCTTTGTGTCTCAGGTACATTCCTGTGGTTGGCTCAGAGCAGGAAGGATCTGTTCTGTGTGTGGGATCAGGATGGAGAGCTCCGCCCCTCGTCAGTCCCTCTCCTGCCTGAGGTAAAAACACCTGTCACCTGTCTCTGAGTCTGATTCTTCTGGTTTCTAGTCAGTGGTCTGTTCCCCTGTGTATTGCCTGTGTCTTCAGATGGAGCTGACTCACCTGTCTGCCTGCCGTGATGCTCTGTGGGGTTTGGACACACATGGCCGAATCAGCATTCGTACACTCTCTCCGTCCTGTCCCACTGGCCTGCACTGGACCCCTCTGGACCTCAGCCAGCTCGGTATGTACAGATGATCATACAGGTGGATTCATACAGGTGTCTGTACCTTTGTTGCAGCTAAATAAAGAGTCTGTGTGGCAACGGAGAATTTTATATCAACAATGGCATGTCTAACCCAGACTGCTGGGGCCTCAGGTTAACCTCACATAACCAGTGAGCCAAAACACTGTGTCCTGTGCAGTTGCAGACCAGTCAGAGCTTGCACACTTGTCATAATGTGGTGTCGGTGCATGTGCATTTTGTCCTCCATCGCTTCCAGTGGCAAGAGATCCCGACAGTAGGAATGATTACAACAAAAAACAAACTGAAAAAACGTGAACTTTAATTACCTTTATAAGAGAGTCTGATTCTGTGATTGGTCAACAGACGGTGTGTGTCTGTGTTTGGGGGGGGCTCCTGTGGGACAGTATGACACACACACTGAACAGCTGTGTTTCTCCATCACACTGACAGGTGGAGGTTGTGTAACAGGTCTGTAATTCAGTGGTCAATATGGAGTGTTTGTGCGTCATGCTGTAAGTTGACTGATAGGTCAGATCTGTTTTTATCTCCTCTGCCCTTCTCACTATCACAGACCATAGACTGTCTGTGCCTTTATTTACTATGCAGTGCACTGTATTTACTGTATTGACTTGAGTTTGCAAGTGATGCAGTACTTGATCCAGATAATGGAGCTCCTGATTTACAAGTCTGAGCTTAATCAGCTCCATGTTATTGATCCGATCAGGAAAAAGTAGAACTGGGACTCTTCTGGTTTTATCAGTCAGCTGATCATTTCTCTACAGAAGAGTCTCTGCCATGTTAAACTACAAAAACACTGTTCCCTGGCAGCTGTAGCCAGATGTGATGACGTGGGGCAAGCTTATTAACCTGTAGACTGAAGTTTCACTGCAGCTGTTACACTATGAACATTAATTAGCTACAGCTGGTGCTGCTCATTTTAATCAGCCCGACTGTTTTCTGCATCAGTCTTTGAACATAAAACATAACCTGGACAGAGAAAATGAAGTTTGTTAGTGTGGGAGCTTGAAATTCGAGAACTTTATTCAAACTGGAACCACATGTCAGAACCAAACCCTGGTGATGTTACAACATGGTGATAATTCATTAGCCTGATCAGATCAGCCACAAACAGTCAGATGTGTTTAAACAAGCTGCAGGTAACCTGTTTCCATGGTCCATGAGGTTAAACTGGTAATTAGTGTTTAGGGGTTCTTGGCGCAGTCCAAGGACTTTTAGGACCTGTCCGAACTTGTATCTATGTTCCTTGTAGAGCCCTGCGCTCTTCTAATAACCTGTCCCTAGTGGTTTCACGGTCCCAATCCAAAAAATGGGGTGACCGCACGTTTGCTGTTTATGGCCCCAGACTCTGGAACTTGCTACCGCCTGAGATTTGGTTTATCACCGAGCTAACGGTTTTTAAATCTACATTAAAAAGGTGCGTTTTTAAACAGGCTTTTGATCTTTAATCTGTTTTATCTGCCTCTTAATGGCATTGTCTACATGTTGTTTTATGCTCTATGATTATCTTGTTGACTGTTTAGTATTGCTTTGTTTGTTTTAGTATTGTTTTAGTTGATATGTTTATACTGTGCAGCACTTTGGGCCCTTCTGAGTTGTAAAGTGCTATATAAATGCTGTTTATTATTATTTATTCTACTGGGAGGGTTCTTTGACCACTGAGGAGGTTCTGGGGGTCCTTAAGAAGGTTTTAAGGTTCTTCTGTGCTGTTATGTAAAGATAAAGAGGCGTGCTCCAGTAAATATCACCTGTGTGTTACAGGAAGTGTTCGTCTGGTCAGTGTGAGCTGTGGCAGTCAGAACGTCTGGGCTGTCGACAGTCGAGGAGTCGTTTACTTCAGAGTTGGAACTCAACCAATGAATGCAAGCATGATGCTGCCGGCCTGGATCCACATAGAACCACCTGTACAGGTAACGCACACCGGATCCACATAGAACCACTTGTGCACAGTGTGTGCGTTACCTGCACAGGTAACTGTGACATCATGTCTCTGCAGCCAATAGGAGTGCAGCTGGTCAGTATTCAGACGAGTCCCAACGATCACCTCCTCTGGGTGCTGGACAACAGAGGCACCGTCTTCGTAAGAACTGGACTCTGTGATGAGATGCCTGTGGGGACAGACTGGGAGCTAGTGCCAGGTACACACCTGTCTGTTGGCTGTCTGATGGTGTGTTTACTGGTGTTTGTAGGTTGGGGGGTCAGGCAGGCTTACATAAGCCAGACTAGTTCTGTTTGTGAATTTTCAGGGTTAGTGGTCAGTCAGCTGGTCCTTAGCTGTCGGACTGTTTGGGTTCGCTGTGTAAATGGAGATCTGGCTCGACGTTACGGCGTCTCGGACAGAAACCCTGCAGGAGATTACTGGAAGAAGATTCCTGGAAATGCCAACTGGGTAACTGGTAAGACCAGCTTTATACTGGTGAGACTGGGTGTTGTGTATATAACATTCATGACAATTGTGGTACAGTTTTTAATGTAATAAAATACTATGGCTTTAACAAAATGAGGACATGTTGACTACACACATCAGGCAGAAGTTAGTTTGCTAATCATCAGACAACAGGTTTTACCTCATGAGGTGAGGATGAAGCTAAAGATCAGGCTTTCATGATCTGAAAGCATGAAGGCACCTCACTTGAAAGAAATTAATTTAAATTTTGTGAAATGTAATGCCAGGCTCATGGAGCATGGAAATGCTCAGAGTAGAAAAACCTCATGTTGCAATTTGTACTTTTGTTGTTAATAAAAATCACGTTTAACGAAGAAAACAAAGGAGAGCTCTAATGTGATTTATAACATGTTTGCCCTCAGAGGGGTTATTCAGGTAAAACTGTTCTGGTGTCAGGTGACTTACTGCCTCAAGTGTGTCTTCTCTTCAGTGACTCCAGAGGACGAGTTGTGGGCGGTGACTCTGACTGGTGGATTGTCTCGCCGGCTGACAAAGCTCCTCCCCCAGACACCCACTAGACCTGCCCCAGGACCTATCAGTGGGGATGACGTTGATGACGAATGGGAGCTCATCTGACCTGTGACATCACTGTGATGTCACCACAGGTTGGTGTTTGTCCATCTGATCTGGATTCATCTGGCAGAATGCTGTAATGTCACAGTGACATCACTTGCTGTGACATTAAAGTTTAGGACCAATCTGGAGCAAGACGTCAACAAACGGAGTCCACATGGCTGCTGGGAAATGAAGTGAACCGAAGGGTACCGTGGGTGCGGGTGTTTTGATGCATGTCACACTGACTGCGTGCCGTGCCCTTCAGTCAGTCAGCACATTTTCCTACAGTTTAGTTCAGACTTATTGATTATGGTCAGAGAGCACTTAGCGTCATGCTAACGATGACATTAAAGGGATGTTTCACTCTAAATTAGTCCAGTTTGTACGATTGATGTAGAAAACTTAATGATTAACAGCACATTAGTGGTCAGAATTTAAAGGGGATGCAGAGACACCAGGACTCATGCAGAGGACAGGGGGGTCATCATGGTCCCAGTGTTTGGTTTTAGTTCACAAGATGCTAGATTTAATTTCATTTGAGGATTTTAACTGACTGTAGCCTCGATTTATATTTTTCTTTGAATGATGCATTGTGCGATGGCAGCGGAAGTGAAAATCTTTCTGCCCATTCAGCCGAGATCAGGCTGGTTTATTTTATTCAGGCGGTTTCACTGAGACGTGCCCTCTCTTCACATTCACACTTGTGGGCTTCCCAGAACAACCGGTCTGATCTGCTGAAGGCAACTCAGTGTTGTTGACTGGGGGAAAGAGCCGGGACATTTGGGACACAGTTTGCATCTCTAGACCACCGTGGCCCAAACTAGTTTTTGATCGGACCCCCAGCACTGACTCTACTCCGCTGACTGAACCATCAGAGTCAGATAATGTGTTGGATTGAAGTTGCAGGTTTTCTTCTGTGCGGAATGTGGCCTCTGGTGTTTGTCTGCCGTCTCTGTTACCATGGCAACAGAGCCCTGCTCACTGGGGTGACTCGTGAAAATGTGTAAAAATGTAAATTTAATAAATATTTGTTTGTTTGATGCAACACGTTCAGTGTTGAAAAGATTCAGCCTGGACCCTGGTGGACTGGACCTGCAGTAAGGTTCCACTCTGAGGTCTGAAATGTCTCTAATGTATTCACCATGGAGACCTGAGCAGGTGTCAGCTGATTGGTTGGATGTTCTGTTGCTGCCCAATAAGAATTCAGTGTACTAACCTGCTGTGATGTTATTCATTAACTTAATAAACATGGTCAAACACTGAAGCAGCATCAGGTTATTGATCTGATCATTGATTCAGTGTCCCTAATTATTAAGAGTTGATTTGATTCTGCCTAGTCAGTGTCCTTGGGTCCCAAGTATGACCCCACATAAACCCCAACTTTTAGGGTAACTAGCTGTATTTTTCATTACAGTTTGTAGGCTACAACTTAAACGTCTGTTGATGTTTCACAAAGGGTTTCTGTTTCGATGGAAACGTCACTTGTTCATCAATGCATGTTCTTACCTTGCGTGCAGAGACACGGCTTCTAATAATCGGCTCTTCAAACAGTAAAAGTTATTTTAACAGAACTTCACAAACTGTACAGGATGACCTGGTTCTTGATCCTGTGTACCTGAGTCCAACAGTTCACGTGTACAAACACTGAACTGCATGTGTAAGGCCAAATATTTATTGCATGTCCTCAGTTACACATGTTCAGAGATCAAAACTAGTGTCACTTTATCTAGATGTTTAGTTATAATAGTGTTTTGTCTGAATCACACTGATGCTCAGGATCCTGAGCTAAGGCCGAGGAAAGACAAAAATAAATGCAAACGTGAACACGCATGCACACCAGCTCTCTGACACTGCTGAAGATGGATCCAGTTAAATCAGAATCTTTTTCTTCTGTTGTCAGTTCAACTGTTGTGAGTTAAAGGTTAAGGTTTTAGGTGACAGCTCCGACAAATATGTATTGATACCTTCAGTTTTACATCAGGTCAGTTTAAAATCTTTATTTACATTGATAACAGACTGTCCAATCACAGCAGTCCTGAGATGTTTCCATTGTGAGAGATGATGTTACCGCCAGCTGTGCAGCTGCAGGAAGTCAGGCAGTGTGCTGATCTGATGCGGTCCGGACCTAGCCAGACACCTGAGCGCCTGAAGCAGAAGGGGGGGCGGGGCCAGACCGCACAGCCAGCTGAACACGTCATTTCCTAGCAGGTTTTGCCATAGCTGCGGCTGGTCCTGCAGGCAGCGCAGCAGTGGCGGTTTGGGCAGAAACAGCAGCAGGAAGTCGAGGCAACACTGTGCATGCCGTCGCTGTGACGCATCACAGGTTAAGAGAGTCTGCAGCGCAGCCTCGAGTCCAACGGGCGTCGCGCCATGAACCAGCAGCATCAGCAGACAGTTGGAGCGGGACAGCTCCACCGCAAGCAGCACCGCAGTCTTTCCTGCGTCCGCGACGTGCGAGCAGCCGCTGCAGCTGTCCAAGTACTCCTGCCGCTTGCTCTGCGTGTCGCAGTCCTTAAGAGCATCCAGCATCATGCCGAGGATTGACACACGATTGTAGCGCACTGCCACATTCAGGTGCGGTGCTCCACTGCTGCGACAGCAGCAGAAGCTGCAGCGTGGCGCTACGAGCGAGCTCACCGAGTACCTGTTGAGTAGGCAACGTGCGTAATCCCGATGGTCATGCACGAGCGCGTACAGCAGGGCCTCAGATGGCATGAAGGGTCGCGGGCGTCCATCTTCCCAGCAGAAAACTTCCATACTGCGCATGTCCTCCAGCAGCCAGACCGGCAGCTGATCCCGCACGGCGCAGTAGAAGGAGAATGCCGTGCGCTCGCACTGCTGCTGAGACGGAGACTGAGGGGGCAGCAGCCACGGCATCACGACGGCACCTGGGAGTTAGCACACACCTGGCTGGGGGAGACTCCGTAAAACTAAACAGACCGATCCTGGTCCAGCAGTCACAAACCCCCTTCCCAGCTCCTTCACACATTTATAGCTGCTGCCCCTGCACCCAGCCACCCCAGCTCTCTTCCTGCTACAGCCGCGGTGTCCCGATCCTCCCATGGCTCCGCCTTCGCCTTCTGACCGGCTTAGCACCATGTGTGGATTTGTTTTGGGTGCCAGGGTGGGTGGAGCGGGGCGCGGAGCACCGGGTGTCGGCATTGCAGGCATAGTGAACATAGCGGCCTTAACACCGCTGCAGTTTGTCAGCAGGAGTACCAACACTGTGGAATCAACTTAACGGTTGGACATCCGATTATTGGTGATTTTGGTCACAGCTTTATTGAATCTGTGCGGTATTTTTCAGCATTTAAAGTCAAAGATGTTTTTCGGATTTGATTTGTAGTTTTTAAAGTAATCTTACTTTGTTGTTGTAGCTTCTTAGCGGCACCTGGGAACCTGCTGTCTGGGGAGATAGCCTACGTTTTACCTGACAGCAATCACATGACTCAGTCCTGATCAGGTTTAAAGATCAGTGAGTTTTTTATGATTGATCATTTACAGTCCTTTTTGTATGGTTTTAGTTTCGATTTGTTTCATAGACAGTTTAAAACAGAGAAAATCTGACTGTTATAACTAATTATTTGTTTTAAACTCCACAACCAGTATTAAACAGGGGAAACTAGGTTTAGTATTCACAAGTTTTACTTTCCTATGAATCCCTCAGAAACTATTCTGTAATAGAAGCCTGACGTGTCAGGTAAGAATGGAGTGACCTGGAGTTTTAATGACTAACAACCAACCCCCTTCTCGCCTAAACAACAACCTGCTGCTTCAACAACAATAAAGACAGAAATGAAAAAGCTAAAATTTAAATAGTATTGAGTTAAAGTGCAGTGAACAAAACTGAATGTGTGCACAAATATAAACGATAACACCTGCAACTGTAAATACAGGGACATCATGAACAGCAGAATGTACAGTTACAAAAAAAAGTCACAGCACTGTTTGTAGTTTCCTGGTTTTCTGCATAAATTGGTCATGAAATGTGACCTGATCTTCACCGAAGTCAAATATCAAGAAACTCGGTATTTCTAAGATGATAAAACACAAAGAGTCCTGATCTTTCATGTCTTTACTGAACATGTACATTAAACATACACAGTGATGTGGACAAAGTCATGACAACCGTGTTGTAATAACCGGCTGAACCACCTTTGTCACCAACGACCTCCAGTCAGCGCTTCCTGTGGCTGTGGATCAGACCTGCACTACGTTCAGGAGGAGCTTTGGACCGTTCTTCCTGACAGAGCTGCTTCAGCTCAGACATATTCTCAGGACGCCTGGTGTGAACGTCTTCAGGTCGTTCCACAGTGTCTCTTTTGGGCTGAACTCCGGTCTGACTGGGCTGCTCCAACAGGTGGGTTTTGTGTCTCTGAAGCTGTTCTGTAGTAGATTTACTTCAATGTTTAGGGTCATTGTCTTGCTGCATCACCCAGCTTGTTCTGAGCTTCAGCTTGCCGACAGCCACTCTGACATCATCCTGTAGGACACCTGGATAAACTGGAGGACTCATTTTCCTTCCACAGTGGCAAGTGGTCCAGGTCCAGAGGCAGCAAAGCAGCCCCACATCATGATGCTCCCCCACCGTACTTCACTGCTGGGATGATGTTTTCATGTTGGTACGCTTTTTTTATTTTTTTATATGCCATACAGACAGTTCTACCTCAGTTTCATCTGTAAATGGTCTTATACAGTGCTTTTCCATGCACTGCAGCTCACTCAAAGCACTGTCACACTATTTGGCTGTTCACCCATTTGCACTCCCAAACACACACACATTCACACACTGGTGACATCACAACTGGGGGTTCAGTGTCTTGCTCAAGGACACCCTGATATGTGGACTGGATAAGCCGGGAATCGAACCGGTTAGGACACGACCCGCCCTACCTCCTGAGCTACAGTCATCCCCCACAGGACATTTTCCCAGTAGTACTGTGGAGGGTCAAGGTGGTCTTTGGCAAACTTCAGGCTGCTGCAGTGTTGTTTTTGGAGAGCAATGGCTTCCTCCGTGGCGTCCTGCCATGGATACCACACCTGGTCAGTATTGTGCGTGTGGCTGACTCACAATGCCCACTTCTATGGAGCGCAGCCACAGCACCACATCGTCTGACTGTGGACTGGTGAATATCTAAAGTCAGTGAGGTGACCCTGTTCCTTTTTCCAGCTACTTGCAAACCAACTACTCTTGGTCGTAGATTTTCTGAGATCTGTTTCTCATAAGGCCTGGCTCACATCAGCTGCTTGTCATGCAGCACACTGACACCGTCTGAGTGTTTTTAGAAGTCCGGGTCATTTTAAACCTCACCTCCGTTCTCGTTTCGTTGACTGGACTCCAGGTTTGCTAACCCCTGACTCCAGCTGACGTTTAGTGACGTCAGAAGTCTGGTGCTGCTGTGACCATTACTGTGTATGTTTAGTGGGTGTGTTCAATAAATACATGAAAGATCAGGACTGTTTGTGGCTGAGACTGAGCTTAGAAATATTGTCTGTTGGTATTTGTGACTTTGGTGAAGATCAGGTCACATTTCATGACCGGTTCGTGCAGAAAACCAGGAAACTGCAAACAGTACTGTGAATTTTTCTTCTGACTGCAAGTCAATGCTGGGAAGTGACTCAATACATTTACCTAGTACCATGCTGAGGTAGTTGTACTTTGAATATTTTCATTAAATGTTACTTCATATTTCTGCTCCACCACATCGATCTGATTGAAACTATGAGAGAAAGTATGATGCATGCTTATTGGTCAAATGAGTGTATAAAACTATTGACTGATAGTCAAACATAAACTAATCAGCAACAGACTCCATGGTTCCTTGGTTTCACCTTCTTGAATATGATAATTTGCCGACGTCTCCCTTTAATTATTTTAATAATTGTAGTTTTCTTCATGTTTAACATTCAGTATATAGTTTGGAGTTTTGACTGAGCAAAGAATCAATCTGAAGATGTCACCTTTCTCACTAATTTCTGAGTTTTACTTTAGTAAACAGTAATTATGAAATTAATCCATAATGAAAAAAATCATTAGTCACAGCTCAGTAATTGAAACTGGTCCAACAGTAAAATACAGACCCAGGATTAACAATCTAATAAATAATAGTCTACTCATAGGGACATTTGTCTGTGTCAAGTCCTTTAACCTTTGATACTTGAAGTATATTCTATACTTTCAAACTTTTACTTTTAAATGAAGAGATTTTCCCTTTTTACTAAAATGAAGGATCTGAATACTTCATCATCAGGCAGATAAATCAGGTGATGTGTGGTCCGAATTGAGCTGAGAATGCATGGAGTGCCACCTGCTGTCCACTCACTGTAACTACATAGTTTAAATCCAAATCACATCTCAGCTTTCAGGATTCCGATCTTCACACAGGTATAAAGACTGCAAAACTATTTGTTCACTGTTACCTGTAACCTCGATATAGCTTTTCATATCAAATTTACATGGTGTCAATATTTTGGTTAATTCATTTGCAACAATTTGTGTTCAATGATTTGTACATGGGGACTGAGCGGTATAGACGATGAATGAATGAATTTGTACGTGTGTAATAACATATCATTGTAGTCTGACATTGTTGCCACTTTGTTTTACTGCTGCTACTTATTCTGAATATACTTTATTATGTATATTTACTTGTACTTTTAATTCAAAGTTTTGGACATTGTTACTTATTAATTTGACTATCTTGTGATTCTTGTATTTTATTTTAGACTGCACTGCAACTTAACGATTTTCTTGTGACATTAATAAAGTATTCTGATTCTGATAACCTGGGACTGACGCTAGATTAGTTTATCAAACGCACACAGACATCAGCAGCATTACTGCTAGTGCTCGCTGACCCCATATCGGCTGCCGGCACTCTCTCACATCACACAGGATGTTGGTACTCGATAACGTCAGAAGGTAATAGGTCTCTGACATGTTGTCACACAGTTTCACAGCCTGGATACAAACAGCTTCTGAATCGATCTGTGGAGAATAAGCATTTAACCACCACTAGCTCAGTTTGTAGCTTCTACAACAGCAAGCAGGAGGTGACCTACAGTGATATTAGTCATACAATCTAATATAAAATCAAATTATCTTACACTGCTAATACTGCTGAGGTATAATCAGGTAAACTGTGCAGGTGTGTCTTTATAAAGTGTTATTATGTGAAACATTGGAGTCAAATCCAGGCCTACAGGCGTTGGAGTGAAAGGGACAGAAAGAAACTCTACATTTAAATAGAGACGGCTACATTTAGTGTTTTTATCGGTGACTTTCTCTCATTATTGCACTGATGACAGCGAGCTGACGCACATGCTGCTGTATGACCATCAGGAGCAGCTTGGAAATCAAATCGACAACCCTGTGATTGGCGGATGACCCGCTGTACTGTAGACACAGTACACCACAATAAGCAGTACTGATTTCTTAAAACATTCTTGAATTGCTGTTCATTGTATTATTGATCAGCCCTGTCTGTCAGCCAGTCTACCCTTAAATATTATAAATTGATTTTAAATCTTCCACATTAAACTTGTCACCAAGAGCTGAAATCACTAGTCAATCAGAAAATGAAAAGTGATTGACACTATTTTAACAACTGATCCATCTATAATGTAGCTGTAAGCAGATTTGTATTTATCAATGTATTAAGTAAAAATTAAATTCTTTTCACTAGAACAGGCTACAGCATAAACCAAGTTGCTTTTAACTGTTCGTGCGGGGTTACAAATAATAAATAGAGAAAAGGTCAAGTCAAGTTGAGATTTGGGGCTATTGATTATGGACTACCTATAGAAAATATCGAACTGTAGACGTAGTACCTGAGCAGGTAAGCACAGACAGTGCAAAGTACTAGTATTACAAATGCAAGTGCACTGTTCTATAGTGATATATTAATCCTGACAGTACTGATTTCTAAAACATTGTGTTTATACATCAGTATTATTTATTTAACGGCAGTTTGAATGAGTGACCTGTGATGGCAGCAGAGATCACACGGACCCTGCTGAGCCTCACAGAGTTTGATCTCCGATCACAAGTATTGACTCTGCATCGATAGCTATAGCTGGGTTTGTGCCTGTGGTCGCTCTGTCGGTGTCGGTCTGGTTTTGTCTGGTTTCTTCTGGTTCCAGCTGCTTGTTCCGGAACTTTTTCTGACTCGGTATGGAGCTTTGGGCGCGGGTTAACAGTTAGCCTCTGTGGGTTTGAGCTGCTTTAGCTTCTGTTAGCTTAATCACGCGGAACATTTCTGCGTCAGAGTCTCTGTTTCACACCAAAAACTTGATCTCCGGACCAAACTGTTAGCTTAGCTCCAAGGCTACTTAACCGGTTCGGTTCAGTTAGCAGGGCAACTACGATAACAAGCTAACTGACGCGATTAGCCTGAGTTAGCCGCTAGCAGCTAGCCAGAGCTTCCTCTGTCCACCTCATGCCGGCGATGCTAGAGAGGAACCCGGAGGCTCCGGGGAAGAGGAGAGGCAGAGCCCCGGTCGGCGGCGCTAGCGGCGGAGAAGCGAATACAGGCAGAAAGAGTCTGTCCGGTAATGGAACCAGCACCAACAACTGCTGGGAAGAAGGAAGTTCAGGCTCCAGCAGCGACGAGGAGCATGGTGGGTAGCCTCGGTCAGTGTAGTACTTTGTGTACTGTTTGTGCTCAAAAGTACTGCTATTGAGTACTGCTGTGTATCGTTTGCGCAGGTGGAGGTGGGATGCGGGTCGGACCGCAATACCAGGCCGTGGTTCCGGACTTTGACCCAGGTAGGAGACTCCACGGATTAGTAGCCTGTAGGTGGAGCGGTAGCCTCGAACAACACTAGCAGTTAACTACGTTTTACTAGTTCCAGCTGTAGAGAGCATGTATCATACTGGTTCTGACTCTATGATTGGTTCCGCTTCTGTGTTCGTCACAGTTTATTGCTTTAAACGGAACCGATTCTATACGTTCTAGCTCTGTGTATTGGTTCTGGCTCAGTAACCCATCTGTGATATTTGTTTTACTGCAGCTGCTCCTGGGTTAGATCTACAGCTTCACTGTCTGTAGCAAGAACCAAATCTACTGTATATACTGCTGCTTCTACTTCTGTTTTTAAAGGTTATTTAAATACGAATCAGCTTTATTGGCCAGGTCTGTTGGATACACAAGGAATTTGACTCTGGTACAGTGGCTCTCAGTGTTTATGTACAACGTTCTTCCATAAAGCAACAAGTTAAGACTAGAAAGTCACCTTTGGCTTTTCCCGTTTAGGGGTTGCATGTTGATATTTGGCATGTGTTTTACGCCGGATGCCCTTCCAGACGCAACCCTGATTTGAACCCGGGGCACAGCAGTGAGGGCGCTGCCCCTTAACCACTAGCCTACCAGGGAAGGCTAAGTAAACAAGATAAGATTGAGAGAACAAAAATAAAGTATTTATAAATATCTCTCATCTCATATTCTATACTGCTTAGTGCCAAACGGGTGGGGGAATGTGGTGTTAGGGTTCATGGACCCTAACCCAATCCCAGCCAGCACGGGGCAAAAGACAGGGTACACTCTGGACAGGTTGCCGGTCCATCACAGCACCAACACTCAGAGGAACAACCACACACACACACACAGCAGGAAGGGACTTCACACAGCTCCAGTGACCTGTTGAAGATGAGTGTGAAGATGGGGGCCAGCTGATCAGCACAGGCTTTTAGGCACACTTAGATCCAGTGTCCACTTTATTGGGAACACTGACAGTCTGATGTATAGTGTCAAGCTTGTGTTGATGTTTTCCATAAATGTGTAAGTTCAGATCTGGTTATCACACTTAAAGGTCTTCTTTTTTTTTACCGGTTTTATTTCTCAAAATGGTTAATGCAGGAATTTGTATTTTGCATGCACAAACACATTGAAGTGGTTTCATACGTTGATCACATGGACTGTCATTCTCACAGAGGTGCAGTGTTTGCACTAGGTTTGGTTGTATTCCCCCTTACAGACATCTATGATTCAGTGCACCTTCCTAATATCTATTTAAATAAAGTCCAGCCTGAGTCATTTACATGAAATGTGCAGGTGTTTTAGCAGTCCATGCAGCAGGCTGTGCAGCAGTGTTAATGTGTAACAGGATAAACTAGTGACCATGGAGCTTGGTTTGTTGCAATCACTTCACCATGGAGATGTTTATTTGATTTAACTCAGTTCTGCTACTTTTGTCTAATTTCTGCTGCCTCTGCCAAAGATGTTAAAGAAACACTTTCCATCAGGAGATGAAGACAAATCACTGTATGCTGTTGCAGAGCACATTGCTGCATGAGTGGGAAACACTAGAGGAGGTTTCTAATGCTGTTAGCTGACAACAGATGTGATGAATATTACTGATTAATGAAGTTTCTAAATGACATCACACTAGTCTACTGAGGTCGACAACAAGCTGATATATTCATCTGATAATAACTGTGTGTTTGTTTGTGTTATCAGAGGTGGCCCAGGCGGCTCAGCTCAGAGAAAACATGGGCATGTTGGTTTGGATCCCCAGCAACTGTCTGAACCAGACTCAGTGTAAGAATCTACTCTCACTGTTCAGTATAAAATGCAAACTGTTAACTGTAAAATATCACCCTGGCAGAGAACATGAAACTGGTGTTGGATGCTTTAGATGTTCACAGTGTTTTTGTGTTCCAGTGGACGAGTACATCGCCATTGCTAAAGAGAAACATGGATACAACATGGAGCAGGTAAAGTTTTATACTTAAAATCTCCTGGGTCTTCGCTGACACAATTTGTGTTTCAAAATGTGCCACACATTCTCTACTGGGGACAGGTGGGGACTGCAGGCAGGCCAGTCCAGCAACTCACACCCTTTTCCTCCACAGCCAGGCCTTGGTAATGTGGCAGTATGAGGTTTGCATTGTCTTGTTGAAATCTGCATGGGCGTTGCAGGAAAAGATGTCATCTTGAAGGCAGCATGCGTTGGCTCCAACATCTCTGTATTGTTCAGCATCAATGGAGCTATCACAGAAGTGTGAGCGACCTTTATCCAGGGCACTGACACGACCCCAGACCATGACAAACCCTAGCTTTTGGACTTGTTGCTGCTAACAGTCTGGATGGTCCTTTTGGTCTTTGGTCCAGAGCACACGGCCTCCATTCCTTCCAAAAATACCTGAGTGGACATAACTACGTATTGTAGTGGCTGACACAGGTGAGCCAACGTCATCCTGAGCCCATGTGGTTATATCGCTGATAGAAGAGTGATGATTCTTGATGCGGTGCCGTCTGAGGGATCGGAGAGCTCGGTCATCCAGCTCAGGCTCGGCCCTTTACACACTGAAATCCCTCCAGACTCCTTGAATCTTTTAATGGTGTTCTGTACCGTACAAAGTGACGGATCCAAATCCCTCCTATCTTTCTTTGAGGAACGTTGTTTTTAAACATTTCAGTGATTCTGTCACAGATATGTTGGCCAACTGGCGGTCCTCGGCCTATCTTTGCTCCTAAAGGCCTTTCCTGGACGCCACTGTTGTACCAGGTCATGATGCAGTCACCTGCTGACATCACCTGGTTCACATGGAGTCATTTCATTGTTTTACCTCATTACTGGTCCTGAAATGCAGCATCAGGATTGAAGTGAGAGTTTATTATGAACAAAGAATAAAACTGATGAGGTGTCACACCAAATAATGTGCTGCTGTATTGTTTTCAATGTAGCACAGGGCACAGATAGGAGGAGGAGGAGGAGGATGATGATGATCACCTTTATTGGCCAACTATGTTACACACGGGATTTGTTTCCGGTACAGAATCGATGGCAGCCATATGTGGCGCCAACTCAAATGATGGCTCTAACCATCGGGGGCAATGGGGGGGGTTCATTGTCTTTGACACGTGGACTACAGGCACTGAGATTTGAACCTTCAACCTTCCGGTTGGGAGACGACTGCTCTACCCACCGCACTGTCGCCTCTCCTTTTTTTTGATTTACACATCACAACACTGTTTTCCTTTTAGTTTAGATTTTACACACTGTCCCAACGTTTTCTGATTTGGGGCTGTAAAAGAACCAACGTTTTCTGATTTGGGGTTGTAAAAGATAAATTAAAATCAAATATTTGCCAAATCAAATCAAAATCATTCTGATTCACATTGTATCATATCATTACAAATTTTGCAGCACTGTTTTTATATCTAATCATGGACCATGTTTCAAGATGCTTATCAAATCATATGAGAGGGAGCGATACACACCCCTACTTCAGATTCAACCAGAGCAAGATGAGTGACGAGGCAGACAGCAGTAGTGCAGCTGGTATTGGTGTGTTGATTTTATGGAAAATGAGTATTGAAATGTTTCCAATTTTCAGAATTGATATGTATAAAAAAATCAATGTATTTGACAATACTACCTAGTACTGATGGTGTAACCCTGTTTCAGGCTCTGGGGATGCTCTTCTGGCACAAACACAACATCGAGAAGTCTCTGGCTGATCTGCCAAACTTCACTCCATTTCCTGACGAGTGGACGGTGGAGGACAGAGTCTTGTTCGAACAGGCCTTCAGCTTTCACGGCAAGAGCTTCCATCGCATCCAGCAGATGGTACATCACCAGTGTAACCAGTTAATTTATGTTGCTGTGACCAGCACGAAGTGTACAATTCATGCTATAACTGTCTCTGCAGTTACCCGATAAGTCGATGGCCAGTCTGGTTCGGTTTTATTACTCCTGGAAGAAAAGTCGCAGTAAAACGAGTCTGATGGACCGACAGACCAGAAAACACAAGAGAGAGAGAGATGATAGGTGAGCTAAAACCTACGCAGGTAATATGACAACAGCACAGGTAACACTGGAGGTGACACGACAGTACAGGTGTGAATCTTCACAGGTAAATTCTGTGATGTGATTGGTGGATTAAAATAAACTCTGTTTCAGTGATGATGAGGTTGAGGACAGCAACGGACATCCTCCAAGTGACTCTGAGTTTGACCAAAATAAAGACAAGAAGGAGGTGAACCACTGACACTTTCCTGACTGTTTACCATGTACTGTCTCTTTACCGTTTACTAAATGTTTACTGACTGTTTACTGGTTTTCTGTGGGCTTTTTTTTTCTTTTACTGCTTTCAGATAAGTTCTGCATCAGAGAGGTCAGAGGTGAAACCAGCTGCCAATTTGAAGGTAAAAATGCCTGAACACCTCACCTGTTTGTAATAACCAGCCTCTGTCTTTACCTGTTCCTTTCTGTACCTGTAGACATGTAGGAAGGTCTCAGCAGATGTGCCTTTCTGTAGCTGATCTGTCTCTTTGTACTTTGTTGGCGTACCTGTAGACAGGTGGAAAGGCATCTCAGCGGATGAAGAAACGTCCTCCCAGAGGAATGTTTTTGAGTCAGCAGGACGTCGTCTCTCTGTCATCTTCATCGGCTCAGGGACTCATCAGACATCTGGACTGTCAGCTGGTGTCCATCAAGAGACAGGTCTGCTTGCCTGTCTGCTGCTTCTCACCCATCTCTCCTCACTTGCCTCTCTCTGTCTGTTCTCACTTGTCTCTTCCATTCTCCTCACCTGTCTCCCTGTCTCTGTGCTTCAGATTCAGACCATCAAACAGACTAACAGTGCTCTTAAGGAGAAACTCACCTCAGGTGTGGACGAGTTCAGGCAACCTCAGGTAACCATGGCAACACAAGCACCAACTTATCATGGCACCATTGCTGCTGTAGGTGCTGGTTAGCAGGGCTGCCCCTAATAGCAGAACAGTTGAGTTATTAGTCAAGAGACCTGTCAGTTGACTGAGACATTTCTAGTTGAGACACAGTGGTTAACGCTGTTGCCTCACAGCAAGAAGGTTCCGGGTTCAATCAGGGCCAACCCAGGGCCTCCCTGTGTGGAGTTTGCATGTTCTCCCTGTGTGGGTTCTCTCCGGGTACTCCGGCTTCCTCCCACAGTCCAAAAACATGCAGCTTAGGTTGATTGGTGACCCTAAATTGCCCATAGGAGTGAGTGTGAGTGAGTGTGGTTGTTTGTCTAAATGTCAGCCCTGTGACAGACTGGCAACCTGTCCAGGGTGGACCCTGCCTCTTGCCCAGTGTCAGCTGGGATTGGCTCCAGCCCCCTGTGACCGTATTCAGGATATCGATAGTGGATGGATGGATGATTTTTTGTCAGCCAGTGTGAATTACAATAGAAGGCAGCCCCAGTCCCCTTTAGTTTATCATTGTCTCTCATTTCGGTGTCAAGCAGCAGTTTGCTCAGTACTGCCCCCGTGGTTGGAGGGAATACCCACTTCAGCTGTGATGATGTCCGATACATGGATGTACATTAAGGTCGGATCTATTTAGCAAATTGCAGAAGGAGGAAAAAAGGGATAACAGATCCCACTAGGACAAGCCACATAAAGTTGAGGTTTGTATTTTATTAGGAGTGTTTTCAAACATCGTGATCCACTTTTACAAGAGAAAAGACTGTTGCGACGATGTGGCTGGTTTTGCCTGATGTTATTATGTGAGTCCGGTTTATTTGCCCATCTCCGTTAAAGTGCAGTGCATAGCAATTTACCGACTGTTTCTGCAACATGCATCCATCAGAACGGGACTAGGAAGCTAACAAAAATGCACGGGGAAAACATTTCAGTGAGGAGTTGTAAATGAGAGGAATCGTTCATAGTGCAAGCTGGCACTCATTTTTTGATTTGATTTGATGTATTCTTTCAAACATGCAGAACAGAACAAATGACAGCAACACACACACATAATTACCCATATCCAACCAATGCTAATCCAAAATCAGTTTGCTTACACCTAGTACATGTTTGAATGGAGTAGGAAGAAGTCAGACTTATCCAGTCCTACCCCATAACATCATATTATACAAAAAATTTCATGCATCATTGGCTGCAAGCAGTATCTCTACATAGGTAATTGCCTTCTTCACCAACAAGTAATACACAGAACATTAAAACAGAGTGTTTCCTTAATGCCTTCTCGAATAAATCTTATTCTTGCGTATATCTTGATTGACACATACCTTTATATTTATATTTAAACTCCTCAATTCTAGTACTGTTCTTCATGTCCACACTTAAATTATTCCATAGTTTTACCCCACTTATAGAAATACAAAATCTTTTTTTGGTTGTACGTATAGCATGAACTTTTAGATTTAAGTGACCCCTTAAGTTGTATCCCCCTTCCCTTTCATCAAATAACCTTTGGATTCCACCAGGCAATAAGTCGTTCCTGGCTTTATACATAAACACAGCAGTCTTATATCCCACTAAATCAAAGAATTTTAACAATTTAGACTGTATGAAAGCTACATTGGTGTGATCCCTATACCCCATCTTATGCACAATTCTTATCGCTCTCTTCTGTAATATGTACAATGGTTGAAGTGAACTCCTGTAAGTGTTTCCCCAGTTTTCAACGCCATACTCCAAGTATGGTAAAATCAATGAAGAATACAAAATGCGTAGTGCTTTAACGTCAAACATAGTAACAACATGCACTGTAGTTAACTGACGGGAGAAGTTTAAACTTGTTGGTAAACTAGGCCATAACCATGTGTCAGAAGAAAAAACTGCTTATTAGAGCATTGTTTCAACAAAAATACAAGTGACTCTCTTTCTGACTCATTATTCCAACAAATCCATAAGGCAGCCTGACGTTATTTAGTTTAACTGTTGCATGTTTCTGTCACTCTTTTGCATTTAAATACCAAAATTAATGTGGCCAAAATGATCACTGAAATTCACGCCAGTTGATTTTCTGACACTCCAGCCTATATATGTATTACAAAAAGAACAAACAGTCAAATAGTCACTCCGAAGAGTCAATTGACAGTTGACTGAGAAAATGTCTGTGCAGATTCTCAGCCATCCAGGTCATAGTAAACTGAAAAAATCAAGTGGACTAGATTTCTAGGTCGAAGACGTTTCACCTCTCATCCAAGAGGCTTCATCAGTTCAACTGAGAAAATCCTTAGTCAGGTACAGCCCTAGTGGTTAGTTGATATTTTTGTTGTGTTGCTGTTTTTCTCAGGTGAATCAGAAGTTTAACAGTCGTTGGACCACAGAGGAGCAGCTGCTTGCTGTACAAGGTAATACCTGAACCACCTGTACTGAGGTGAACTGAGACACACCTGGATTATTTTTATTAAAGCCCCTCAGTCTGTGATTGGCCAGTGACTCATTCTCTTGTCTAATCCCATGCAGCCATCAGGAAGTATGGGCGGGACTTCCAGGCGATCTCAGATGTGATTGGTAACAAGTCGGTGGTTCAGGTGAAGAACTTCCTGGTGAACTACAGACGCAGGTTTAATTTAGATGAGGTTCTTCAGGAGTGGGAGGCCGAACATGGGATGGAGGGGGAAGGCGGGGGAGGAGAGGAGGACAAGATGGAGAACAAGATGGAGGTGTGTCTTGCTGAGGAGGAGGAGGAGGAAGCCACTGCCAAGGAGACAAAGGAGGTAAGGAGGAGTTACTGTTCACTACAAATTCCAGAATACTCTCTGTCTGCAGGTTCATCACTATACTGGTCCTCAGTTATATCTGCTGTTGAAATGCACGTGGTCATTTTAGTCCGTCAGTAAAAATGTAATGATAAACTGCAGCCTAAAATTGTTTGAGTGCTTGTTTCTCAGTTTTCTGAGTTTTGTCTTTAGGGTAATGGCACACATTTTTAATGGCTAAGCGTGGCTTGTACTTTAAACAGTCTGAGGTATCTGTTGTAGTTTCAGTCCAGACAAGTGAGATGGACAGGAAACACTCTGACACTTGACCTGTTGGCAAAGTTTCCTGAGATCAGGGTCTTCATCACTGAAGCCTTTTCTCTGGTAGGAATGGAACATGAAGTGCAGAAACACACAGTGAATCTTCAGTCACAGACTCAGTCTATGCTCTCAGTCGGTTTCGGTCTTTTTGTCTCATCATCTTTGACAGCTGTGATTCTTCTCCTTGGTTCATTTCTGCAATAAAGACATCGGAGACACTTTGGCAGTCCCAGAAAAACTGGGAAGCAGCTGAAAGACGAACAACAAATACTTTTGGTGTAATTGTTACTGGCCAGAAAATTCAGAATGCACTGTATGTATTGCTAGTCCATAGGTGTACATTCTGCTTCTTACCATTTAATTTCAAAAACAAAGTTCTTTGTAGGATTGCTTACACTGTTTGCATCAGGAGCATGTCAAGAGACTTCACCCAAAGAGTGGACATTTTTTGATGAATGTCGAATGTGAGCAGGCCAAGATTGGGTTTACTGAAGTAGAAGGCTAAGTTCATGGCTACAGATGTTTGTCCTCATTCAGGCTATGCAGTGTTTGGTTCTTCTTGAGTGTTTAATAATGCCTACTTTGTGTTGTTGGGTTAAGTTAGCTTTTTTAGTTATGCTCTACAGAGTCAATTTTCACATTAACCTGTGATCTAAAAGAGCCTGTAGAGAGAGGGAGACAAGAAAATTCTATAAAGCTCACACGTTTATTGTAGCATGCTAGAAGTCGTACATTGACAGACTGAATGTGTGTGTGTGTGTGTGTGTGTCAGATTGGGAGAGTGCGACAGCTGTCAGTAATCAGTTGGTCATAAGTTGGTCATAAATTATCATCATAGATTAACAACATGATTTAAAAGAGGCTTCGACACTTCAAAGAACTTGTTAATCTAGGATGTCTTTGCCATTTGACAACAGAGCTTTACATCATTGAAAATGTCCTTGTATATTATTTCTAGAAATGAGTGGGAACTCTGTGTAACTGTGTTTCTATTCTGTCCTGCAGGACTCGTCCTCTCCAGTGGACTCCCTGAAGCCTCTGGCCTCCTGAGACCCTCTGGACTCTGACCCCGCCTCTCTGCACTATGACTCCACCCTCTGAATGCTTGGCCCACCAATCTAGTTTTATGTCATCATGCTTTTATTTTATTTTCTCAGTTTAACTGTTGGAATGTTTTGAACTTCTATTAATCAGTTGATTGATCAGGTTTGAGGTTTGTGTCATGAACTGTCACCTGTCATCACTGCTGTCTGGACCAATCAAAATCAGACCTGACCTGTAAATCAAAGTGTTGGGGATTGAGGATTTTCATTTTTATTTTCCAACTTCTGTTGAGACATATGTTCTGTTTTAAATCTGCTGGGAAGTGCTGGGAGGTGGAGGTGTTGTTGAACTGAAGCAGCCATGTTGGATGACTTTACTCAGGTAGGGGGGGTGTTCTGTCCTGATGATGTCATTCTGATTTTGTGTGTGTGTGTGTGTGTGTGTGTATATATATCTTAGGACCTCTTAGAGGACTCACAATAAAACCAAAGTAGATCAGTAACAGTGCTGCTTCTTCAGCTTCTTTTTTTCAGCCTGAGTTCTATAGTCTCACTCAGGTTTCCATGCTTACAGGGCAGAGGTCAGATAAACTAGGACAGCTTGTTTTTATTTTAACTAGTTCCAGTTCAGTGTATATGAAAACATAAGTTAGTAATTGTATAGAATGGAAACCCTATATAGTCATTGTAATAAATGCAGTGAAGTTAGGAGTGCTACTTCACATTGGCGCTTATAAGTTAAAAACAGATCCATAACTTCTGTTTGCAATATAGGGAGAGGACACATGAGACAGCTCCCAGTCTAGCCTGTACTAGTTTCTTGGGTTGTCAAGTTTTTTTTCTTCAGAACATAAATAACTCTGTTAATCTTGAGCTAACATGACAAAATGAACAAAGAGGCAAAACAAGTTTTCTGTGCAGAGATTCCAGCTACACATGCTGCTACTAGCGCTGCAGGGAAGCTAGCATCATTTGCAGCTGATGGCTCTTCGACAACAATAAACACTTTAGAAACACACTAATACAGCTACCGTGCTCATTTCCACGGACCAACAGTTGGCAGAGTTTGCAAAGCAGAGGACCTCACTCGGAGGATGTTTCTTTCCTGATCCAAGAATCCATGAAACCATTACAAACCTTGCTGGACTCTATACAAACAACAGTAAACTCTTTCCAGACATACCTTACCTCTGTGGAATCGGTAGCTGGTGATAACGTTGAATGCTTAGTAACAGTGGAATCCACTATCAGAACACTCCAAACCTAAAACCACTCTTTCTTGGACAGACTTGACCTCAAAAACCGATCTAGGAGGGCCATTCTCATGTACTAAACATTCCTGAAGGCAACTGAAAAACCTTAGAAAAATTCAACTGGACTTAGATTTCTAGGTCGAAGACGTTTCACCTCATCCAAAAGGCTTCATCAGTTCTGACTGGTGTTGAGCCGGAGATATTTATCCCCCTCGGTGGTGTTTCAGTCCTTTGAAGGCCAACAATGTCCCTTAATGACTGAGTCGTTGCAGCCCAGTATCGGTGAGAGTTGTTACCTTTGACGACTCTCACCGATACTGGGCTGCAACCAAGACTTCAGCCCAGCACTTGCCAAGAAACGAGCTTCAGTGGAATAAAACAAGCCCTGTACAGACAGAACATCTGATTCCACCAGCTGTGTGTACTAAACAGGAACGACGCATTGACCTCATACGAATACGAAAGTCAGCATCTGGTGGAATATAACTGTGTAAAGGAATGTGTTCATTTAGTATGAAACAAATACCATCAGAGCAGGCTCTTTGTTTGTATATCTACCTAGTGGTGAGTTTAAGGGCATAGTTTTTGCATATGGATGGTAGGGACATGTTCCTACCAATACTTTCGGAGGACAGAAATGTCCTTACCAATATTTTAGCAAACCCATGTGCATTGTCTTTGGAGTGGAGTCATATTAGATCATTCCAATGTGCTTGACAGTGGCACAGTGGAGTAGTGGTTTGTGCTGTTGCCTCGCAGGAAGAAGGTTGTGGATTTGAGCCCTGGAACCCGGTTGCTGCTTTGTCTGGTCATCGCACCCTGTTTTACTTGCAGTGATTTCCCGTTTTGTTAGCTGCCTACCTTTTCCCTGGGCCTGACTCCTCATGCCTCGTTCCTGGTTTTGAACTCTGGTTCTTGAACCTTCGTTTCCTACCCCCAGTACCTGGTTTGTTGTGTTTTCTGTGCCCTCTGTTTGTTAGTCTGGTTACTTGTGTCATTGTATCACTAGCCAACTGTGGTGTTTAGCTATTTTTCTTTAGATACCTTTGTGATGCATTTTTGTCAAGTTGAGCTTTTGAGTTTGATACCTGGGTGTCCACCTCAACAATAAACTGGATTGGACCAACAACACTGATGCCCTGTACAGGAAGGGCCAGAGCTGCCTCCACTTGTTGAGGAGACTGAGGTCCTTTGGTGTGCAGGGGGCACTCCTTCGAACTTTTTATGATACTGTGGTGGCATCGGCAGGTTTTTACCCTGTTGTGGGCTGGGCAGGAGGTAGCACGGACAGGGACAGAAAGAGACTAAATAAGCTGGTTAAGAGAGCTGGGTCTGTCCTGGGCTGCCCTCTGGATTCCATCGAGGAGGTGGTGGACAGAAGGATGCTGGCAAAACAAACATCCCCAGTGCAAGAAGGAGTGTTACCATAGGTTGATTTGATTTGTTCTCAGGGATTAATTGTGGGAGGATCATTCTTGTTCTGATTGTCTCAAATACTATATTCTGTCTAGTTTTACATACTTTGGAATTTGTTTCTCAAGATATGTTTGTTCTTTGTTCTTATGGTGTTTTGATGCTGCTCTCTATTGCTGCTGGAACGCGGGAATTTCCCCATTGTGGGATCAATAAAGTCCTGCCTACCTACCTAACGTGGAGCTTCAACAGTCTGAACCGATCAAATCAA